AGTTACTAATCTCTCCAACAACATCGAAGTGAGGAACATAGAGCTAAGTAACGGAAGCCAAGCGATACTGTAGCGGACCTGCCCACGATTGTGGAGGAGGAAGGGGAAGACAGATAGGTACAGAAATGTAAAACGGGAGATATAACTTTTTTAACTTCCAAATGTCCAAGTTAGATACTAAAATGATCAACAAGAACCTGAAGGGAGTCTTCAACAGGCACGATTCTGCTGCTAAAATCAACATTGATCCGGAGTTTGTTCTTCGAATTTTTGATTCTAGTAAAAATCGATATTTCTACGCCCATGAAAAAAATACTTTGCCTCGAAAGGTCCCATACGATGTGTAAAAAAGTAGACTTGGTAACAATTCAAGGGAAAGCAGAAAAATTTGATATTGTGGAGCAATTTACCCAGGAACGTCAAAATACAAATTGAAGATTCAATTTGATTTTTGCAGTTTTTCACAATGGGATGCCTGGACTATGTCCTACCAGAGTCTTTTATACGACATACGCAAGTGAGCTGTTTTTATGTAACAAGACAAGGAACCTAACAAAGAACAATTTTGTCTTTCGACGCATTGGCCATGTAAATGAAGAGGCACAATGATCTCGACTCTTACACTTCTCAAAACTTTACAGATTCATAACAAAGTCTTGTTATGATCCTAAAAAATATCGCGGGGTTTCCGTTGAAGAAATGCCCTTCTTCGAAGAAATTGTGCAAAGAAACTTAAAAATATACGATTTTGATATACAAGAATATGAGTAAGTAGGAGACTTAGCTCGATGAATTGTTGGTAATTTTGACAAAAACTTAAGTTGCTTAAGCTGTTGAGATCTGATAAGCATATCTTTCATACAGACGATATAGATAGCTTCTTCAAGAGTTTCCGGTGTCAAAGTGGTGATACTTTTTTCAGAAGACCTAAATATCTCAACAAACCTCTTCTGAGATGCAAGGATCGAGTGAGGCAAATCTATCCAAAGGACGTGTGTGAGCTTCGTGAGACTTGGTTTGAAAAACTAGAAGGATTCAATCTTCTCGTTTCTGAAGAAAAAACTCTTCAATAATATAGCAATTTTAGATTTTGAGTCAATTTGTGTTGCTACGGATGAGCTAAAAGAAACAAAAATTACAAACTGGATCGGAAATCATCTTCCAATTACGGTTTCCATATCATCCAATCTGATTGATGAACCCATGTTTTTGTACAAGAAGGTTCTGCGGAACTTAATATTCAGTAACTTGATTATTAAGTTTTTCAAGTAGCTGTCAATGATCTAATGAAACAACATCTTCGATCAGCTGAAATAATCGAACAAAAACCTTTCATTTAATCCATTTGAGTACAAAGACGAATGCGTTGAAGACTCGTAAAAAGCAAAAATATCTAGTCAGTTTTTGAGAATTCAGAAAGATCTACTCATTGATTTGAATTAATATCTGGAGAAATATGTAAAAACTCTGCATGTTTTTTGATTTAACAGCATTAGGTACGATTCAGTTTTGATCAAGTACTACTCAAACCTTGTTTGATTTTCTGGACGGAGCAACGACTCTAGACCAATTTCTCAAAGCCTATAAATCTAGCCAAATGAAAGCGCTCTTCCCCTATGAGTGGTTTGACAACCCTGGCCTGCTTGTTCTTCCACTGTACCACTGCATGAAGCCTTTTTCAGTTAGTAACATAAATGCTCTTGACAAAGATTTTATTGTTTATGAGAAGCTGAGAAAAAGAAGGGCCTGATGAGCAACAAGCACTGAAAAAATCATAAATGAAATATGTGCCCATATCTGGCTTGGATAGTTACAATTACTTACAAGGTACTCGGCAGAAAAAAGGATTGACTGTGTTGAAAGTCTTTTTGCAGTAGTAAAACAACAAGGATGTTGTTCCAACCCTGGAAGCAATGCAAAAATTGATTCAGTTTTAACATCACAACAACGAGATAGATATGTTGAAACTTGGTTGTATTCTTCCGAATCTAGCAAACATGTGTCTTCACAAATCTACAAATTACATTTTTTATCCATTTTGCAAAAAAGATGAAGATTTGCGAGAAAAATCGACAAGACATGACTGATGGACCTTCCAATGTGTTCACTCGACAAGCTGTAGATGGTGGGACATTGATCAAAAGTTCATCAAAATTATGTAAATCGATCGTTGGAAGTGGTGCAAGCCAGATTTAAGTTTCCCAATTCGTCAAGGTATGCCAACAGGACTGTCCACGAGATGGGAGGTTGAAACGATATGCAGAAGTATAAACCAGACAAATCCGATCTCGCAACTTTGAGAATATGGTCATATCTTTTACAAGGAAACAAGAACAAAATGTAAAATTGAGAGTTTTTTTCACATGGGATGTTACTACCACTTCTGTTCCTGTCAAGAAACTCTTCTATCCGTAACAGTTCAGGATAATGATTGAGGGAATAAGAAGAGAGAGATAGATGTGATGAGAAGGGAATACTTAAAAGAGAAAGGATAAAAGTTGAAGAAATGTGGGAGTGCCAGTTGCGGGAAAACCTCAAAACCGATGACAAGATCAAAATTTTTGTCACAGCCCACTTTCCCTACATAAAATTTTTTTCTATAGACTCCATGTTAGCTTAGAAAAAAACAAAAGAGGATCTCGTTTCGGCTACGTTCAGTGCGATTCAATTGTTCAAGATGAAATAAAATCAAAATTTGCCAATATTCCTCTAATTTTCAAAAAAACTGAAGTTGGAAGAAACGATCGGGTTTCACGGACTATATGAAAACTATACAATCAATTACGAAATGATAAAACATCCTAAGAGAATGCTGATTTCTAGTAATAAGCTAGAAATTGGAACTGTTCTAACTCCTCTGTTCAATTTTTGTTCGGAACTTGGCTTGTAGCTGACCAAAATTTACCGTTTTGTTCACTGTTTCTTCAAAACTGTTAAAACAATTTCGTTCATTCAGTGGTCGATGCTAGAAGAGAAGGAGATGAAAACAATCTATCGGGAACTTCAGCAGAAACAAAACATTTTTTGGATAATTCTTCCCATGGATATCAAATTATTTATAGTTCCGAGCATACAATCACGAAAAATCTCAATGATAAAGAAACCATATGCTAATCAAAGAACCACTGTTTGAAAGAATGAAAACAGTTGAAAAAAAATTTGTTTTAGGTGGAGTTGCTGAAATCAACTATTGAGCACCGAAAACGCATCCTTTATTGACTTTTTCATACTTCAGTATGCAAAACTGAGAACGTTGGAGCTGTACTACAAGTTCTGCGATGTTAACAAAATTGTAGAGTTGGAGATGGACACAGACTCACTTTAAAAAACTTATATGACTGTATCCAGCCTGATAAGAAAATTGCTTAGGAAAAATGAGTGAAAATGACTAAAGAGATTCTTTCAAGACAGATGCAAAATCTAGTTTCTTCCCTCGAACGTGTTGCAGTATCCATAAAAAGCATAATAAACGGGAGCCGGGTTTTTTCAAAGAGGAATTTAGATGAACGGAAATGCTATGTTTGTGAAGCAAAAGTTTTTGCTGCTCTGACAACAAGTCGGAAAATTTAAGCAGCACAGGATTAAGCAAATGGCTTCTAGAAGGCTTGGAGACGTCAAATGAGGATTCAGAACTGTAAATCATATGGTTGCTACATATGAGCAGACAAAAAATGGACTTAGTTTTTTATTCAATGAGACAAGTTCAAGATTATGAAATACATACAAAACCATTGAACTTAAAAGAAATGATGCAAAGTAATAAAAAAAAGAAGTGACGCCATGTAATTAAATCATGTACGGTACAGTATTTTGTTACTTCAATTTTATTTTTTCTTATGTTGCCGTAAAAACTTTTACACTTGACTCACTATGATCCAAAAACATAATATGATACTTTTTTCCACAATCTACACGTAATAAACTAATTATACTCACCAACCAAACAACGCACCCCAATATTACTGCGAAATTACTGCGATAAAACCAAAAAAAGCAATTTTTCTTACCATTCTGTCAACATCACACAAACCATGGAACCATTTTAAGTCTTTTACCCAATTTATTTTCTTGTAGACTCTATAACCAATGTTAATACATTGCATGCCGGACCGGAAAACTATAACATTTTTTAATAAAAGAAGTTCGCCATGCCCCCCACTTAACCTCCATCCAGCATCCACTACTCACAGCCCTCATTGGATTTTAAGTATGTAGCTGACACTGCAGCAAATGTATTTTTTGAAACCGATCAACGGCCAGATCGACTTCAAACTGAAACATAACAATCCTTGTCACTTGGCTGTCCCACTTTTTAAAATCAACATTTCATCTCGCTACTTTAGCGAGTAGGAAGGGCTATTAAGAAAGCACGTAGTCTCTCTGACTTACGAATTGGCCACCGTACGGACACAAATCTGCACTTTTTCAATACGTTATTTCCAAAGTCACTACAAAACCCAAACCGATTTTTTATTTTGTAGGCATAGTCAACAACTACACTCTCTGCCAACTTTCCAAAGAACTCAGAAGACACTACATCCATCCCTCATAAGAAAAACTTCGAAATATAACACACACTAAACCCCGGATGATTGGAACCAGTATAAACCAAGTATTCAATTTAAAACCGAAAATAGAAAGCGTCACGAACAGACGGTGTAAGCTAATTACTCTATGAAAAGTCCACTCTATGACTTAATTTTAATATGAATGATGGACTGATTTCAGCAAGTTTCACATTGGTTCGATCACTGCCTCGATCTAAAATTGCGGCACAAAACGGGCAAGTACCAACAGATAATTATATTTCTTCAGAAAAATCTCTGAGAGCCTTAGAACAGCTGTTCAGCAACATGTCAGTAATTTAACAGCTATGGACAAATCTCTTAAAAAATTTAGATACAAATAGAAAAGTTGACTTTGAAATTACAGGTTTGTCCAGCTTTTATTTAAAAATTATTAGTCGAACTAAAAGAAACAACAAAAAACTAAATACTCACATAGATAGATTGAGATTGAAATCTATGAAACGACAATTTCGTAACAAAGATTTTGATGTATTTGTTGTAATTTCGCAAACTTTAGATTTCAGCTAGTCGGATTTAACTGTGATCAAATTGATGAAAGCACACAGTAAGCAAGACAACATTGTTTCTTGTTGGTTTTGAATTGATTTTGTTTTGGTAAATTCTCAGATATAACATACAATTTAGCGTACCGACGCAAACACAAGCTTCGAATTCATTCATGCAAACTCTTTCATTTTTGAACACTTTTGGTAAAATATATTTAATACATGATTATACGCAAGTTGACGTGTAAGTCTCGTTGATTTTATTTATAGTCATAATTGGTCAAATCATAAGCAATTCATAAGTTTACGTCATGTCTTCTGCGAAAAGAAAAAAAACGTGACCAAGATCCAGCCTTAAAAACAACAACGAAGAGTTTTCAATTCTCATGTCTTTATCATGCTTACCTGCATTTTGTGTAAACTTTTATTACCAGTACCAAATTTTTTGCAAATATTGCTGCATTTTTTGCTTTAATCACAGCCTACTCGTTTTCTGAAACTTCGCTTATTGTTTAAAACATTCTCTTGATATTTTTCAACATTAATCTTCTCCTTTTATTACCTAAGTTGAACAGCCCCTTCTAACACCCCATCCGTCTACACTTTTCCCTTTTACCTTTTCCCACAATTTAGCTCTCCCATTCCAAAAGATAATCCAACTTTTACTGTCATACTTACTTTCAATGGGGTTTGGCGGGAAATGCGGTGATAAAATTAGCAGACATTGATGTAGTAATGATCGAGTAAATATGTGATTTGAGGATTGGGATGACAACCCAATTAGAAAAAATCAGAAAAAAATGGAAGACAGTTTCAAAACAAGGATTGCCGGTTACTCAGGAAGTAGCACAGTATGTTCCGACCATATCTGATAAAACCTACAAACAGCTAGTTTTTTTTTTAATATGTGTCAAGTTTCTGTAAAACAGCGAAATTTATTTTACAGACGTAAAATATAAGTTTTTTGGCTTATATTTCTTTTAAATATGCCTACTCGCACGTTGTTTTTTTGGCTCGAATTGAAACTAAAATCAGGAATTTCTAAACCGGTTTCTGCAAGTAGCACAGAAAGATCCGAGATTAAACTTGAAATTACACTTTTTTCCAAATACTGTTGTTTTGTTGGTGCGTGCTGATATAAAAATTTTACGAACAAAAAGTAGAATTTAGGCGTATTTGGCATATATTAGAAAAACTTTTGTTTTCATAATTCATAAATTTCTCTGCAGAAGTTTTTAAAATTGATGAACACTTTGATTCAAAAGAAAAGAAAAAACTCAGTGCCAATGAGTAAAAACTGACAACGGAAAAAAACTAGGTCCTTACAGGTAAAAATAAGCTTAAAACAGTTTTGTAAGCCTGGACTCTCATGTCATTAGTTGGAAACTATAACAAAAAAGAAAAAGTTCAAAAAATTTTTCGACACTTGGATTTTTTTAAAGTTTCTAAAAGTTGTTCACATTGCGACTCAAATGGCATCAATAGGCTATATTACTCAACGCATTCCAACGATTGTTTGTTAACGAGTACGAACGGTTAGTAAGAAAGCACGTAGTCTCTCTGACCCACGAATTGGCCACCCTACGGACACAAATCTGCACTTTTTTCATTACGATACTTCCATAGTCACATCAATCCCCAAACATAACTCAACGCAGTCCGACAATTGAATGAAACTAAAATCAGGAATTTCTAAACCGGTTTCTGCAAGTAGCACAGAAGGTTCCGAGCATAAATCTGAAATTACACTTTTTTCCAAATAATCTTGTTTTGTTTGTGCGTGCTGATATAAAAATTCTACGAACAAAAAGTAGAAGTTAGGCGTATTTGGCATATATTAGAAAAACTTTTGTTTTCATAATTCATAAATTTCTCTGCAGAAGTTTTTAAAATTGATGAACACATTGATTCAAAAGAAAAGAAAAAACTCAGTGGCAATGAGTAAAAACTGACAATGGAAAAAAACTAGGTCCTAACAGGTAAAAATAAGCTTAAAACAGTTTTGTAAGCCTGGACTCTCATGTCATTAGTTGGAAATTATAACAAAAAAGAAAAAGTTCAAAAAGTTTTTATGACACTTGGATTTTTTTAAAGTTTCTAAAAGTTGTTCACATTGCGACTCAAATGGCATCAATAGGCTATATTACTCAACGCAGTCCGACGATCGTTTGTGGTATCTGAAAAAAAAGTTTTTTAAAACCAAAGCACGCCAGAATACAAAATTCCTACCTTTTTTCAAAGGGGTCGGAACAACAATACAACTATTCTAACAAACCAAATATAGATCTCATTATTGATTGCATTGTTCAAGTTTTGATTATACATGAAGACTGCAGAAAAATATAGGCTGTGGCTCTATAAAAGGTTAAAGGTTACTGCTACAATCTATTATAATCAATCATAATTTATCGCATAATCTAATACTGTCTACAGCAAACGCTTATAAGAGAATGAAATGTTTTTACTCTGTTTGATTGAAAACCATTTTTCTGATTCCTTGTAAGCTATTAATTGGCAATCAAACTTTATGGCAATCAACGTTGAATTTTTGTTATTACTAACTTTTGTCCAGGGAAATTTTCATGTGCAGTCTTCAAAAATTTATTTGCGGGCATTTTCGTTCGTGATGGTCAATCAGCGGTTAAGATGAAGTGTTCTCTGGTGATCGTAATTGTTTTCAAGTATTACACTTTTAGGAACCTTTTACACAAAGACTATTTATTATAACGAATCAAATAAAAAAAAATAGGGGAAATTGCCACCAACTGAGATGTTAAGCAAATACAAAGAAAAGCTGTCATTTTTTGTATTTTTTGGGTGTACCTCACAACGGATTATTGATCATTATGTACCTCAAACTAACGGTTTTTTGATTTGGGGTAGATATAGTTGCCTCTGTAGCATCGCTCTACACTTTTATTCTTTTATTAAAAACACGGGCTGCTGTTCAAAAAATACTACGGACTACTTTAGAAAAAATGGTACGTAAACATGTAATCACAACAGTAGTTTTGTCTTACGGTAGGGTTGATTTGTGTGAAAAAGCTGATGAATGGATGTAGTGAAGCTGATTAGGTTATAGAAAAATACTTGAAAAAAATGTTAGCGATGAAACATTTTGCAGTTTTACTGAATTGAAATACGTAAAAGTTAAAAAACGTTTTCGTACAGTTACCAAAAAAAACCATTTTTGGTAACATGAAAATCCCACGAAACTCTGACCACAATTTTGAGTAGTTTTGAAATTGCCCCCAATGATCATTTTTTCCGTTTCAATTAAGTTCTCAAAAGTTATTTTTCCAGAAAATCATTAAGTTTCCGTTTCTCAGGATAACGTTGTTCGAAAACGTTTAAAAAATCTTTTTTCCTTATGCATTTGTTCTATGCCTGGATGGTGCATGGCTTATTAAAAGCCAAAAAATCAGCACCCTTGGAGACTTTTGCCACAGTTTAGAAGTTTGGTAAAATCATCATATGATTTTATGACCCATTGTACTGTCTAATCAAATTTGAAATTTTTCTAGCAATAATACAGCTGTTTAAATTTTAAGTCAATTTGGAGATCAAATTTGGATCAATTTGTTGAAGTAAAATTCGAAATCCACTGAAGCAATCTTTTTTTTGGATAGCTGTTATCTGGGTATCTAAGCAAAAAATTATTATGCGGCAAAAGTGTCAAAATCAGTATCAAATCGAAAATACCGAATTCAGAAGGCGGTCTTGTTTGCTGTGAGCAAAATGAAAGATGTTTGATCATGAAAATGATTTTTTTTGTTGCGCCATACTTAGTTGAGTCGTTGTTTTCAAAAGATAAGATGAGCCTGAAATTTTTTCAAAACCGATTTTTTTTTAGAAAAAGCCGCCTAGCAACATAGAATGGCGAATCTACAGATACAATTTGGATTTAAGTTAATTTTAAATTTCTATTGTACTAAGCTTAACCTTGTTAAACTTGATAGAATTCAAGTAACACAGTCTGTTCGTACATATTTTCAAACCGATTGAGTCCAATTGGATCACATTCGAATTCAGTTTATTTGACATTAATTAACAGTTTTTTTTTCATTCAGAAAAATAAGATGGAGACAAAGGATTACATGATCATTTCTTGCGCATGGGTTTGAATACCAAACCGATTGCGAAACTGGAGTCTACAAATTCAAGGAAAATTTTATTGAAAATTTTCAGGGTACATCTAAAATTTTGCAATGAAATTATATTGTTTTAGTTTCCTTGAATTGGTTTTGATACTTTATCCTGAAACTCAGTTTTATCGGCACCACAAGGACGTATAAAGAAGTGTTTGGCTTTATACGCCAAGTTTATCAACTTATAGTTGAATGACGAAAAGTTCGCTAAACTGAGTCTTCCAATGTACCGAATAAACACGATCTTGTTGGTAATGATATATAAAAACTTTAAAAAAACCTGATAATCCCAGTATCTTCAAGTTTTTTTGAACACATTGTCTGCGCTCTTGCACTACTCATAGAAGAACTGCTCTCAAAATATTTGGATTTCTTTTGAGCTGCAATCCATTTTTAATGATACTTCTTCGTAAGTTTCTGCTCTCATTCAAGTGTTTGGAAAAAGAAATGAAGTATTTTTTTCACAACCGTGGACTGTGATATATAGTTTTGATCAGTCGCTCATGCAGTCTCTAAGCCCAAGTATTTCTAAAAACTTATTAAAGCGTATATAGAAATAAGCTTTAAAAACATAATGCAAGGAGAGAAGATGGCTAAGCAGAATAGAATTGGCGGAAAACTTTTGGATGATACCCAGGTTACACAGCCAGGGGAAAACTTTAGATTTCCTGCAAGGAACTCAAAAAGAAACCAGGACAACCCCGCACTTCTTGGGCGGAGCCATCCAGTAACCCTCATAGATAGGGTATGAAGTCTGATGCATGAAGTCTCAGAAAAAAAAACTTGCAAACCAGGCCTGAACAAGTGCTAGGCACAACCTCAACAATCCCAGGTAACTAATAAAAAATCAGAATTTTTCTGCACAAATATAGGCTCACAAAAAATGTTCCGAAAAAATTTTTGATGCAAAAATGCAAAAGTTTCGGCGCATAACTCAGTCCAGCCACAACTTTTCACACAAAGAACAAAAAATGAGAAAGTGTCTTTTGTGTGAAGCCTAAATATGACAGTTAAGCAGCTCAGAAAACTTTTAAAGACAAGTTTTTTTGTAGAAGCCATATAGCCACATTGGGGGTGTGATTCCTACAGGGATCATTGGGTATTTCATACCTACTGATCCATTTCTATGTATACCAATTGATCCCAATGAGTAAATTTTGCGCCAAAAATTTTTTCGGCAAAACTTTCTTTCCTTTTTTTTCTTTTTTTTTATCAATTTTTTTTTTCGATTTTTTCAATTATTCATATGATCGCTAGGTATAATCTATGATTCCTATATACAGCTAAGGATCCGTACATAAATCTATTGATCCTTGCGTTTAACCA